CGTGTTGTGACAATGTCAGTCCATTACAATGTGAGTCGTGACAATGTCAGTCCATTACAATGCGAGTTGTGACGTCAGTCCATTACAATGCGAGTTGTGACAACGTCAGTCCATTACAATGTGAGTCGTGACGTCAGTCCATTACAATGCGTGTCGTGACGTCAGTCCATTACAATGCGTGTCGTGACAACGTCAGTCCATTACAATGCGAGTTGTGACAATGTCAGTCCATTACAATGTGAGTCGTGACGTCAGTCCATTACAATGCATGTCGTGACAACGTCAGTCCATTACAATGCGAGTTGTGACAATGTCAGTCCATTACAATGCGAGTCGTGACAACGTCAGTCCATTACAATGCGTGTCGTGACGTCAGTCCATTACAGTGCGAGTCGTGACGTCAGTCCATTACAATGCGTGTCGTGACAACGTCAGTCCATTACAATGCGAGTTGTGACGTCAGTCCATTACAATGCGTGTCGTGACGTCAGTCCATTACAATGCGAGTCGTGACAATGTCAGTCCATTACAATGCGAGTTGTGACAATGTCAGTCCATTACAATGCATGTCGTGACAATGTCAGTCCATTACAATGCGTGTCGTGACGTCAGTCCATTACAATGTGAGTTGTGACAATGTCAGTCGATTACAATGTGAGTCGTGACGTCAGTCCATTACAATGCGTGTCATGACAATGTCAGTCCATTACAATGCGTGTCGTGACGTCAGTCCATTACAATGCATGTCGTGACAACGTCAGTCCATTACAATGCGTGTCGTGACAATGTCAGTCCATTACAATGCGTGTCGTGACAATATCAGTCCATTACAATGCGTGTCGTGACGTCAGTCCATTACAATGCGTGTCGTGACAACGTCAGTCCATTACAATGCGAGTCGTGACAATGTCAGTCCATTACAATGCGTGTCGTGACGTCAGTCCATTACAATGCATGTCGTGACAACGTCAGTCCATTACAATGCGAGTTGTGACAATGTCAGTCCATTACAATGCGTGTCGTGACGTCAGTCCATTACAATGCATGTCGTGACAACGTCAGTCCATTACAATGCGTGTCGTGACAATGTCAGTCCATTACAATGCGTGTCGTGACAATGTCAGTCCATTACAATGCGAGTCGTGACGTCAGTCCATTACAATGCGTGTTGTGACGTCAGTCCATTACAATGCGTGTCGTGAAAACGTCAGTCCATTACAATGTGAGTCGTGACAATGTCAGTCCATTACAATGTGAGTCGTGACAATGTCAGTCCATTACAATGCGTGTTGTGACAATGTCAGTCCATTACAATGTGAGTCGTGACAATGTCAGTCCATTACAATGCGAGTTGTGACGTCAGTCCATTACAATGCGAGTTGTGACAACGTCAGTCCATTACAATGTGAGTCGTGACGTCAGTCCATTACAATGCGTGTCGTGACGTCAGTCCATTACAATGCGTGTCGTGACAACGTCAGTCCATTACAATGCGAGTTGTGACAATGTCAGTCCATTACAATGTGAGTCGTGACGTCAGTCCATTACAATGCATGTCGTGACAACGTCAGTCCATTACAATGCGAGTTGTGACAATGTCAGTCCATTACAATGCGAGTCGTGACAACGTCAGTCCATTACAATGCGTGTCGTGACGTCAGTCCATTACAGTGCGAGTCGTGACGTCAGTCCATTACAATGCGTGTCGTGACAACGTCAGTCCATTACAATGCGAGTTGTGACGTCAGTCCATTACAATGCGTGTCGTGACGTCAGTCCATTACAATGCGAGTCGTGACAATGTCAGTCCATTACAATGCGAGTTGTGACAATGTCAGTCCATTACAATGCATGTCGTGACAATGTCAGTCCATTACAATGCGTGTCGTGACGTCAGTCCATTACAATGCGAGTTGTGTCAACGTCAGTCTATTACAATGTGAGTTGTGACGTCAGTCCATTACAATGCGAGTTGAGACAATGTCAGTCCATTGAAATGCGAGTCGTTACAATGTCAGTCCATTACAATGCGAGTCGTGACGTCAGTCCATTACAATGTGAGTTGTGACAATGTCAGTCCATTACAATGCGAGTTGAGACAATGTCAGTCCATTACAATGCGAGTTGTGACAATGTCAGTCCATTACAATGCGAGTTGAGACAATGTCAGTCCATTACAATGCGAGTCGTGACAATGTCAGTCCATTACAATGCGTGTCGTGACAATGTCAGTCCATTTAAATGCGAGTCGTGACAATGTCAGTCCATTACAATGCGAGTCGTGACGTCAGTCCATTACAATGTGAGTTGTGATAATGTCAGTCCATTACAATGCGAGTTGTGACAACGTCAGTCCATTACAATGCGAGTTGTGACAACGTCAGTCCATTACAATGCGAGTCGTGACGTCAGACCATTACAATGTGAGTCGTGACGTCAGTCCATTACAATGCGAGTCGTGACGTCAGTCCATTACAATGCGTGTCGTGACAATGTCAGTCCATTACAATGCGTGTCGTGACAATGTCAGTCCATTACAATGCGTGTCGTGACAACGTCAGCCATTACAATGCGAGTCGTGACGTCAGTCCATTACAATGCGAGTCGTGACGTCAGTCCATTACAATGCGTGTCGTGACGTCAGTCCATTACAATGCGTGTCGTGACAATGTCAGTCCATTACAATGCGAGTCGTGACAATGTCAGTCCATTACAATGCGAGTCGTGACGTCAGTCCATTACAATACGAGTTGTGACAATGTCAGTCCATTACAATGCGAGTTGAGACAATGTCAGTCCATTACAATGCGAGTCGTGACAATGTCAGTCCATTACAATGCGTGTCGTGACAATGTCAGTCCATTACAATGCGAGTCGTGACAATGTCAGTCCATTACAATGCGAGTCGTGACGTCAGTCCATTACAATGTGAGTTGTGACAATGTCAGTCCATTACAATGCGAGTTGAGACAATGTCAGTCCATTACAATGCGAGTTGTGACGTCAGTCCATTACAATGCGAGTCGTGACGTCAGTCCATTACAATGCGAGTTGTGACAATGTCAGTCCATTACAATGCGAGTTGAGACAATGTCAGTCCATTACAATGCGAGTCGTGACAATGTCAGTCCATTACAATGCGTGTCGTGACAATGTCAGTCCATTGAAATGCGAGTCGTGACAATTTCAGTCCATTACAATGCGAGTCGTGACGTCAGTCCATTACAATGTGAGTTGTGACAATGTCAGTCCATTACAATGCGAGTTGAGACAATGTCAGTCCATTACAATGCGAGTTGTGACAATGTCAGTCCATTACAATGCGAGTTGAGACAATGTCAGTCCATTACAATGCGAGTCGTGACAATGTCAGTCCATTACAATGCGTGTCGTGACAATGTCAGTCCATTGAAATGCGAGTCGTGACAATGTCAGTCCATTACAATACGAGTCGTGACGTCAGTCCATTACAATGTGAGTTGTGACAATGTCAGTCCATTACAATGCGAGTTGTGACAACGTCAGTCCATTACAATGCGAGTCGTGACGTCAGTCCATTACAATGCGTGTCGTGACGTCAGTCGATTACAATGCGTGTCGTGACAATGTCAGTCCATTACAATGCGTGTCGTGACGTCAGTCCATTACAATGCGAGTTGTGACAATGTCAGTCCATTACAATGCGAGTCGTGACAATGTCAGTCCATTACAATGCGAGTTGTGACAATGTCAGTCCATTACAATGCGTGTCGTGACAATGTCAGTCCATTACAATGTGAGTCGTGACAATGTCAGTCCATTACAATGCGTGTCGTGACAATGTCAGTCCATTACAATGCGTGTCGTGACAATGTCAGTCCATTACAATGCGAGTTGTGACGTCAGTCCATTACAATGCGTGTCGTGACGTCAGTCCATTACAATGCGAGTCGTGACGTCAGTCCATTACAATGCGAGTTGTGACGTCAGTCCATTACAATGCGAGTTGTGTCAATGTCAGTCCATTACAATGTGAGTTGTGACAATGTCAGTCCATTACAATGCGTGTCGTGACAACGTCAGTCCATTACAATGCGAGTCGTGACAATGTCAGTCCATTACAATGCGAGTCGTGACAACGTCAGTCCATTACAATGTGAGTTGTGACGTCAGTCCATTACAATGTGAGTCGTGACAATGTCAGTCCATTACAATGCGAGTCGTGACAATGTCAGTCCATTACAATGTGAGTTGTGACAATGTCAGTCCATTACAATGTGAGTTGTGACAATGTCAGTCCATTACAATGCGTGTCGTGACAACGTCAGTCCATTACAATGCGAGTCGTGACAATGTCAGTCCATTACAATGCGAGTCGTGACAACGTCAGTCCATTACAATGTGAGTTGGGACGTCAGTCCATTACAATGTGAGTCGTGACAATGTCAGTCCATTACAATGCGAGTCGTGACAATGTCAGTCCATTACAATGTGAGTTGTGACGTCAGTCCATTACAATGCGAGTTGTGACGTCAGTCCATTACAATGCGAGTTGTGTCAACGTCAGTCCATTACAATGTGAGTTGTGACGTCAGTCCATTACAATGCGAGTCGTGACAATGTCAGTCCATTACAATGTGAGTTGTGACGTCAGTCCATTACAATGCGAGTCGTGACAACGTCAGTCCATTACAATGTGAGTTGTGACGTCAGTCCATTACAATGCGAGTCGTGACAATATCAGTCCATTACAATGTGAGTTGTGACGTCAGTCCATTACAATGCGAGTTGTGTCAACGTCAGTCTATTACAATGCAAGTCGTGACAATGTCAGTCCATTACAATGTGAGTCATGACAATGGAATTCCATCACAATGTGAGTCATTGACATGATTTAGAGTGGAGCCACGTGTGGAATTGTGTTTCTTGTTTTTGGATTTGAATACGCAGTATGACTTTTTAAACACTTTAAAACTAAACTTCAGGGCAACTTCCAAAAGTAAGAAAAAACAACTCTTGCATTTATAGAAAAAAAAACCCACATTTAATGGGTTTAGTTACAAATTACTAAACATGCAATATTCAAGCAAGCGTCAGTGGCGCATGATGTTGGGTCATCTGGGTAGTAGCTCAACACGTGCCATCTGCGGAGGAAGCAATGTCATAATACGTCAGGCTTGTCAAATGAGGCAAATACTGAATGTACCGTACACAACACAATGACTACGCTACTCACCGCTAAACAGCGACATGCCGTGTGCACAAGGCCGCACTGAACTAATCTGACACCGTTAATACACAGCAGCGCACAAAAAAATAGACACAATACTGTACACGATTACCAATACTCCTCGTGGACATCCCGACGTGACAAACTCTGCCCCGTGGCTCCGACACACACACACACCTGGACATATGTGTATATACACAGTAACCATGTACGGGCACGTCCTGTAGCTGTGTGCACAAAGTGCATTCATGCAGTGCACGTGTGTGTGTGTGTGTGCAAAAGTGATGCCGTCTGGTGCTGGACGCGTGCAGCCCGCAGTGAGCTCCACAGAGGCAGCCAGCCAGTGGTGGTGGTGCTGCTGCTGCTGCGTGCAAGGACTCCTTGTGTGGAGATGGTGGATTGAGGAGGTTGGGCAGGAGCTCTTGGGTTGGCACCGTGTCCGCCGTTACTTGTTCCTTGATGCTTTCGGGGACTCGGGCCCACGGTGGGACCGCCTCGGTGCATTATACGTTCGACTTCGTAATTCCAAGAAGTCGACTTCTCCATCATACTGCAAAAATGGAAGGCTCTGATACTGTGTTGTAATACTGTACTGTGGTTAAAACGGTGATCGCTGGGTCAGTGTTGGACTGAGAATCTTAAGAGCGGACGCTAGTTTATGGAAACCACCGACTCACGAATCAACCCTTTAGCGAGAGTTAATTCACTTAAGCAAAACCGTGTTCACAGCATGTCCAACAGCGTGGGTGGATCGCGTTGATCCGAATAGAAACAGACTTTTTAATCGCACGGTTGTCATATGTGCATCTCCGGGTCTTCGCCCGCCCCATCGGGAGACTGCCCGTTACCAAATATGACGGCAGTGGGGCCGTGGGTCTGGGACGTGACGAAAGGCGACACGACGGGCGAGCGAGTGGCGAGCGGCGACAGCGAGGGCGTGAGGCTGGGGGACATGGCGTGCGACGTGGAGAGGGGCTCATGCGTGATGGGCGAGCGCGGGATGGTAGTCCACGACATGACGGGACGCGGCGCCACGGCGCGGGTGCCCGGCGGCACCACGCTGGTGATGAGCGGCGGCGGAAGGACGTGCGGCTTGTGCTGGACGCGAGCTCGCAGCGCAGAAGACTTTTGCTGGCTGTGCAGCGACTCGTCCTTCAGGCGCCCGATTTCCGCAAACACCCCGGCCAGCGGCTGAAAGCGAGGGCTCCAATTCAACAGGTAGTCCCAGTCGTAGCTCCCTCGCAGCTCCTCCTCGGAGGCCACGATGGAAGTGAGCGCCCCCTCCACCGGAGGCCGGCCGTCTTCGCTGGAGCCTCTCGACACTCGGCTAGCCGCGCCGGCCTCTCGGTTGCCCCCGTGATTCGCAGCCCGCTCGGCCTGCTGCAGCGTCTGCAGAATGAAGTTGCGGATCGAGTCCGATCTGCGGCCCGAGTCGCACTCGTCCGCCACGCTGGCCAGCGGGGAGCGCAAACCGGACACCTCGTTCGCTCCCAGACCGCCGCCGCCGCGCATCTCGGAAGAGAGATGCGTGACGTGCGAAACGTCGGACAGGTGGTCGGTGTCGTGCTGGATACCGGAATCCGGGCCTCGTAGAGTCGAATGGGCCCCCGCCGGGCCGTGGTAGCCGTGCGGCCCACGAGCCGGGTTCTCCGTGATCATGCGGATCTCGTCGTCAGCCGCGGCGTCTCCCTCCGCGGAGCCGCGTCCGCTGGAGTGGGAGTGGGCCGAGTGGTCGGGGAAGTCGGGCCCCATGAGAGCGGGCCCCACGGCCGAGTAATGGGGCAGCACCGTGCGGTACATGTCTGCGGGCTCCACCAGCTGCATGTCCATCTGCGACGGGCGGCCGCTGCCACCGGCCTTGCCGCCGCCGCCTTTTCCAGACTGCCTCTTGCGTCGGATCAGAACGACGAGCAGCACAATGAGAACCACGGCAAAGGCTCCGAATCCCACGGCCAGGCCGACAGCCAGAACGATGCTTGAGCCTTCTCTTTCAATCCCGATGGCAGTGTGCGTCACGTCCATCACTGCGACAGCAATCGATATTCGCGACTCGGGTAGTGGGCTCTTTGCTAGAATTTTCAGAAAAACTTCCCTGGCATCACGTCTAAATCGACGTTGGTGCAGGCCAGTGCGACTGTTAACTTTCAAATAAATGTGTCCAGTTGTTTCATTTATCCCGAAATACACAGAGGGGTATTTTAGATAATAGAGTACGATTCCATCCAAGCCTCCATCTTTATCCGTAGCGCTGACCACGCCCACGCTCTCGCCTGCCTGCGCGTTCTCGAGGACGGTGAATTGGTACGTGGCCTCCGTGAACGTGGGGTCGAACTCATCGACGCCGGTTACGTGCACGATCACACCGACGGTGGCGGACAGCCCGCCCAGGTCCTGTGCTCGTACCCCGAGCGCGTAGCGTGAAACGCTCTCCCTGTCGAGAGCCACGCGCGTTCGCAGCTCGCCCGTGACGGGGTCCAGCGTGAACACTCCCGCCCCCTCGCTTGCCACGCTCTCCGCGGAGTGGTTGAGCGTGGAGTAGGAGAGCGTTCCGTAAGGGCCCGTGTCCCGGTCCACGGCCCGCAACACGGCCACCAGGCTGCCAGCGGGCTCGTTCTCCAGCACGCTGGCGTACAGCCGCTCCGCGGGGAAGAAGGGGGCGTTATCGTTGACATCCTCGACGTTGATCGAGACGACAGCGATGGCCGCGTGCGCGCCGTCCCAGGCCAGCACGGTGAGATTGTGCTGCTCCTGCTGCTCGCGGTCCAACGGTCGCAAAAGGGAGATGGCGCCTGAGGACTCGCCGATCCCAAACAGGCTGCGCTCGTTTCCAGAGCTGATGCCGTAGTGGATGCCCCCACTCAGCTGCGAGTCGGGGTCAGTGGCCGCCACTCGGACAACGCCGGTGCCCACCGCCAGATCCTCGTCGACGCTCGCGTGGTACTCTGGGGTGCTGAAGACGGGCGGGTTATCGTTCACGTCGGTGACGCGCACGATCGCATTGACGGTCGCGTTGCCGTGGGCACCCGTGCCGTCAAATGCCACGATCGTCAGGTTGTAAAATGCTTTGGTCTCAAAGTCAAGTGGTCCCAGCAGCAGGAGGCTTCCCGTCGCGTCGGGGGCTGCCGTGGACGACGTTCGCCGAGTGTCGACGGCAAAGATGCCTCCCTCGTCCCCGGCCACGATGCTGTACGCCACGCCCTCGCCGTCGCGCGGCGCCGTTTCTGCGGTGAGCGTGGTGAGCACCGTGCCGCTGGCGGCGTCCTCGCTCACCGACAGGCCGTGCGCCCGGGCCACGTGCACACGCAGCAGGGGAGGAGACACGGGGCCTCGCGAGAGCTCGACGAACACCGGAACGGAGGCGGTGAGCGGGGGACGCCCGCCATCTCGTGCCTCCACCACCAACCAGGCCAAGCCGTCGCTCGAGTTCACCTGCAGGGGATCCGTCACCACCACCGAGCCTGCACCACGTACACACGCGCACAAAGGTCCCTCTCGAGCCTCGCAGATTGTTGGGCAAGCTCAGTTAGCGACCGCCTACGAAGGCCAACACATCACTTGAGGGGGTGGGTGGCCAGCACCATGCCTTTCCTTCTTCGAAAACCCAGCGCTGATTTTTACACACCACACCAGTGACTCGTTTACGTCTGAGTCGACCTAGGGGAGGCCCTGGACTACTAGGTTCCTAGTACAGTACGCTAATCACGACACCACTCCCTGCCATAAAGACAAAGACATGCACCCGTGCACATAACAACAATAACCATCATTCATCACTAAGTCGCGATTGTGCCAGGTTAGGTGGACCTTGAGGCCACGTGAGGTGTCAAAGGCTTGTTGGCAGGAGGTCACAGGTCAGACCTAGCTGCTATCAGTTGACTGAGATGACTGCAGATGCACCATCTGTGCTGCCCACTGTGCTAAATTTCTGTGTTTGAGCCATCTGGCCAATATTAACACCGCCGGTACCAGTCATCGGCAAGTCCAATCAGCTCCACATCCTGTTTTACCGCATCAGTCCATCTCTTCGCTAGCCCGTGTAATGCACGTTTAGCTCCCTCTATCCAACCATACAGAAGCTGCTCGGGCATGCAGCGGCTGGGCATGTGGGTTACATGACCCAGCCAATGCAGCCTCACCTCACAAAATCCACTCTGGTTAAACTCAGGATGGATTGTAGGCAGGCCAAACTGAACAAAATGGTGCAGATTATTCCTTCATCGAGGTCCACGTTTTCCAAGCGTCGAGAAGGCAGCGCGTAACTGTGGCCGGGAAGTCCTGGAACTTCGTGTGGAGCGACAGGCTATTGAATCTAAATGTTTCGAGCCGGTACGACACGCTCTCATGGCGTGACGTGTTTTTTCCATCATTTGCACAAAGTGTGGCATTTGAGTGCTGCCCACGCCGGGTCCAGCCCGGAGCGGCGCTGGTTTTGGCCGGAGCTACGCACCGTTGAGCTGGTGGACGGAGAACCCGGCTGTGCTGGACGACGCCACGCGGTACGACACTCGGCCGTTTTCCTCCGCGTCCGGGTCGAGCGCCACCACCCTCGCGACGGCCGTGCCCTCGGGGCTGTCCGCCACCACGGAGGCCTGCACGGCGCAGGCGACGCACAGCACCGGGGTGAGCTCCGCCAGCGGAACGCGCGCGGCCGCGGCACGCCGCAAGCCCCCGATAAGTAACGCGGGCGCTCACCCGGTAGTGCGGTTGGTCGAACGCGGGCGCGTTGTCGTTGACGTCGGTAACGTGCAGGGTGAGGTTGCCCACGGTGGCGTGCCGCCCGTCCCACGCCAGCACCGACACCGTGTGCCGCGCCGCCCTCTCCCGGTCCAGCGCGCGCGACAGCAGCAGCTGGCCCTGCCAGCGCACCAATCCGAAGGGCCCGCCGGCCCCCCCGCCCTCCGCCACGTGGGGCCCGCTCGCCGGCGCGCCGCCGGCTCCCGCCGCCAAGCTGTACTCCAGGGCCGGGTACGAGTCGACGTCGTTGGCCGTCACCAGGGTGACCAGAGAGCCGGGCTCCACGTCTGCACGCGGCACAGGTGGTCAATCGGCGTGCCGCAACGTCGCCACTCCGGGAGGCCTCCTCGTTCCACCATCCGCGCGGTGGTGCCGCCGCCGATGGCAGAGCCAACGCTGCGGCCGTGACTGGGAGCCTCTTCGCTAATTTTTGGTAAGAATTTTCAGAATTAGTGGGGCAAGACCCCGGTTCTGCTGTGAAATTATTTTTATCTTCCAGATTTTGCCACGAGGCAGTTAAGATGACTTCCTGCTCAGATGAGCATTGAGTCAGTGCTCATCTCCTGTTTACATCCAGGGGCGAGTCTATCCATAGGACAACCATTGTTGACTTCCTCACAAAGTGGATACTAATTTTATCGACCCTAGGGGGATGATGGGCTGAGTCAACCCTAGACCTGGATTTGAACTCGCGACCTTCCGATTGCGAGCCGCTCGCTCTACCGCTGAGCAACCCTGGCCTGGAAAGGCACAACAGAAAATTATCTTCCAATCAGAGCGCTCCGTCACAAAGTAAATAAACACTTTTCGCGTGATTTTTTTTGCGCAGTAATTCATAACCAAAGTGTCTACCATCGTCTCGTGACCCCCAAAGGCTGCCAGGCCGGGGCACTCGGAGGCTCTGACCTTCACGCAGGCTGAGCTTGGGGGGCCGCGGGATGGTGGGCGTGTTGTCGTTGGTGTCCACCACGAACACGGAGAGCGTTGTGGAGCCCGTGAGGGGTGGGCTGCCCTGATCCACCGCCCACACCACCACCCTGAACCCGAGCGCACCAACACCAGCACACGCAGGAGCAACCAACAACCAACCAGCCGCGTTGGGGATTCGGTCTACCACACATTTAATCTCATCCAGACAGGTGACAACAACACACTCACTCTGCCACACTCGCCCCATTCACACACTCACTCCCCCAATCACCCACCCTATCGCTCGTATATCACTACCACTACGGCTGCTACCATGATGACTGTTCCCGTAAACTTCGCTCACTGATTCCTTCACCCATGTTGACAACTCTACCAGGCTGCTTTGTCTCATCCACCACACTGCAGGTCACCCCACTTCTCTTTCTGCTTCTTCCCTTGCACTGCTCCACCTTCAAGTTCCCTTCCACCACCGCCAGCGCTCTTGCCAAGCTTTTACAACAATAACCTTGCTCAATTTAGGAAACGCGTGAGCTCTTATCTATTACAACTTTGGTATATAGTGCTGTTTGTTGCTGGCCACTGTTCACTGATGCACAGCAATCAAACAGCAGCGACCGAGACAGCAGCCCAGAGACAATAACCACGAGGGGCACGGCTTCACTTCCCATACGCACGCCGCCGCCTCCTGCAAGCCATTACCCCAAGGCGTTCTGTTCGTCCGGACACACGTGCACCATCGGGCCCGTGGACACGTGGACACTACTCAGACCTGTAGAAATCGGTGATCTCGTGGTCCAGGATGGTGTTCGTGCTGATGTTCCCATGGCGATTGATCTGGAAGATGCTGGCGTGCTCGACGGATGGGATGGAGTAGACGAGTTCCCGGCTGGAGCCATCGTCTCGATCCTTCGCCAGCACCTGCCATCGCACACGGGGAGGCACCTCGCTCCGGCACTCAGACGCACGCACGCACCGTGCGAGCGAGCGTGCCCCCCCCCCCCCCCCTAGCGCGCGACGCGAGCGCGACCGGCTCACCGTGGCGATGTCGGTGCCGTAGCCGCTCTGCTCGCGCACGAAGGCCACGTAGCGGTCGTGCTGGAACACCGGCTCGTGGTCGTTGACGTCGGTCAGCGTCACCTCCAGCACGGCGAACGCCTGGGGCCCTCGACCCCCTCCTGCCTCGGCCTTGGCCGACACCACCGCCCGGAGACGCGGGGAGGCCTCGTAGTCCAGCGCGGCCGCGTCCTGAACGCGCACCGCCCCTGCACAGGCACGCGTTAGCGGGAGCGCACCGCGCTCAGACCGGGACGAGACCCTTTGTGATGCTGCCGCAGCTGCTGCTGCTGCTGCAGCGCTCGCATGTGGCCCATCAGCACGGATAACAAAAAACTCAACGCATTCTTCAATGACACTCTGAGCCTCTGAGCAAAAGCGAGTAACGCAGTGAACTGAGGCCGGCAAACATAACGTTCACAAAAGTCAAATCTGCTACCACCCAACCAAAAGTCGCGCGGACTTTTAACAGGATAAAGTCAGGGCTCACGGCGGTTACCCCTTGACCATGGCTGGCTCGGAGCAGGCTCGGAGCCCTCGGCCTGCGCCCACCTGTGTTGCTGTCAATGTAGAAAATGTTTTGGTTGTTGATGGGGACGATGCTGTAGATGATGCGGCCACTGGATCCATCCTGATACGCAGCCTCCACTGTGGCGACGATGGTGCCTGTCACGCCACACCACTCGTGTTACAATCCCTGTCAGGCCACACCACGCGGCGAAGGCACCCAAGTGAGGATTGGCGCTCGGGTGCGTGGTGGGCACTTGCACCTCTGGGCGTGTGCTCCGGCAGCGTCGCCGCGTACAGCTGGCGAGAGAAGCGGAGCGCGGCGTGCGCCGCGTTTTGCCGCGTCAGCAGCAGCAACGCGGACGCGGAGTGGGGCGGGCTGCCCTGGTCCGTCGCCGTGACGACGATTGGGTCCCAGGAGGTCGGCGCGCCCCCCCAGGCCGGCCGGGCCCGCAGCTCGCCGGTGCGGCTGTCCACCGTGACGCGCGGGTCCTGGACGCGGTAGAGCACGGCCGCGTTGGGCCCGTAGTCCGCGTCCCGGGCCTGCAGCCGCCCCAGCACCTCCCCGTCCACCGAGGCCGCCGGCACGCCCACCTCCAGCAGCTCCTGCCGGGGTCACGCGGCGCACGATTCGCGTCAGCGCAACTCGAGCACGGCGTCACTGCGCCGTCGCTGTGCGTCTCGGCGCGGATTTGATCTCGAATGGTTTAATATTATATTGTATCAATCCCAGAGGCATGGTCAATCCCCGACCAGCATTGAGCTCGTGACATTCTAAACCGAGCCGAACGCCGCGCAGGCGGTGCTGCGGGACGCGCGCACCTGCAGGAATACGGGCGCGTTGTCGTTGACGTCCCGCACGGTCACGGTGACGGCCACAGAGGCGCTGCGCGGGTGGCTGGGGCTCGAGTCCGCCGCGACCACGAAGAAGCGGTACGAGTCCCTCGCCTCGCGGTCCAGCGGCGAGCGCGTGCGCACCGTCCCCGAGCGCTCGTCCACCCGGAAGGCCCCGCCGGCGGAGCCCTCCAGCCAGTACGCCAGCGCCGCGTTGGGGCCCTGGTCCGGGTCGACGGCCGCCGCCCGCAGCACGGAGGTGCCCGGGGGCGCGTCCTCCGGCAAGGAGGCCTGGTAAGCGGGCTGCGGGAAGGCGGGCGCGTGGTCGTTCTCGTCCGTCACCGACACGGAGACCGCGATGGCGTGCGAGCGCGCCGGCTCCCCCCGGTCCCGCGCCTCCAGCCGCAGCTCGTAGGAGGAGACGGCCTCGCGGTCCAGCGGCCGCGCGGTCGACAGCAGGCCCTCGTCCGCGTGCACGAGGAAGTCCCCGCGCGGGTCGCCACCTGGGGAGAGGCCGCGGGGAGGAGGGGAGGGCTCGACGCGGGCACCGCGAGGCGTGTGTGCGTGCGGCGTGGGCGGGCGCCCCCGCCGGTTTCCCCGGCGCGCGGCTCGCGCACGCGCGTACCCACGATGTGGAACGTGACTCGCCCGTTCTCCCCGGCGTCCGGGTCCCACGCCGACAGCGGAAGCAGCGGTCCCGGCTCGCGGTTCTCGGGAACCTGCAGCTGCATCCCGGCAAAGTGCGGGCCGAACCGCGGAGCGTGGTCGTTCTCGTCCACCACCGCGACACGCACCACCGTGACGGCCCAGCGTGCGGGCCGGCCCCCGTCCCGCACCAACACTGCCGAGAGATGACGCGCACGCCCCATGAAGCCAGTGGCCTCAAGACCCTGAATATTGGTATCTTAGTGATATTTTTCGACGGAAAAATACATTCTCTTGGGGTCTTTCGGTAAAGTCACGTCGATAGAAAAATATTTTTAAAAAAATTTAAATCACGACATATATATACATTGAATGTTATATTTTTTATTCACATGGGGCTCAGTTTAAAAAGCTCGCTGGCGACGCGCGGGGACTGGCACGAGGGCGAGCACGCACCGGGAACGTCGTACTCGCCCCGTTCCTCCCGGTCCAGGCTCCTCGTCGTGCTCATCTGCCCCGACGAGCGGTGGATGCGGAAGCAGCCGTCAGCCACCCCCTCCGGGATCTCAAACTCCAGCGCTCCGTTCGCCCCTGGACGGACACGTCGCTCGGGTGTCATCAAAAGCGTCACTCTTTGGCCTCTTCCACACGCGCCACGGTCTCACACGGACGACGGTGAACAGCAATCCGCGATGTCTTTCCGTAGGAACCATTCGTGAAGGACGCATCACGCGCTCCCGGCTTCTCCCCGGCACCCGTACCTGCGTCTGGGTCTGTGGCCTGCAGTCGAGTCACGGGGGTGTTGGGGGCCGCGTTTTCCCGCACGCTGGCCGCCTGCTCGTGCTGCGGGAAGCGCGGGGGTTCGTCGTTGACGTCGCGCAGGGCGACCGTGACGAGCAGGCTGCTGCTGCGCTGGGGCCGCCCCCCATCGCGAGCGTCGACCGTGATCGTGTATTCGGCTCTCCGCTCGCGATCCAGCGGCCGCGCCACGGAGAGCAGGCCTGCACGCGCGGGCAGGCGCACGGGGTAAGCGAAGGAAGTGGAGGGGCGCCCGACTGTCCACAAGACTCCCACGGTGTGGGTAAACCTTTCAGGGAGGGCTCAGGCTACAGCATGGATACAGTGCAGGAGGAATTTCAAGTGTGCACTACGGTGACGACACGTTGTTTGATGCGCAACGTGAAACCAATGCCTCACTAACACAAAACACAAGGATACCGTGCTCACCCGATTATAGCATTCGTGCTATGGCAAAGCGTCTTGGGGGTGGGGGGGGGGGTCAGGGGGTCACCATTCCAGAAGGGTTGAGAACCACTGCCCTCGCACAACCACAGCACGTGCGGCGCACCCCACGCGGGGTGCGCCGCACGACGTCACCTGTGACGGGGTGTGGCGCACGACGTCACAGGTGACGTCACCTGTGACGGGGTGCGCCGCACGACGTCACCTGTGACGGGGTGCAGGTCGAACGCCCCGTCCTTGTCGCCGTCGGCAATCGCGTAGCGCACGGTGCCGTTCTCGGCGAGGTCGGCGTCCCGCGCCACCACGTGCATTATGGGAAACCCGGGGGGGGCGTTCTCCGGCACGGCGCTGCGATTGGCCGACAGGAACACGGGGGCGTTGTCGTTGTCGTCGCCGACCGTCACGAGCGCCGTGACCTCGGAGGCCCGGCGCCGAGCGGGCTCGCGCGCTTGGTCCGTCGCCCTGACGACGAGCAGGAACGCCGGGACGGCCTCGCGGTCCAGGGCCGCGGCGGTGCTGAGCACGCCGCTCACGGGGTCGAGCGCAAACGCCGCGGGGGAGCCGGGCGTCTGCAGCGCGAGCTCGTAGCGGACGTCGCGGTTCGGGAGGCTTCCGTCGGCGTCCGTCGCCCGGAACGTGTGCACGGCACGGCCCACGGGGAGGCCCTCCTGCACAGAGATGCGCGGGGCCTCCTGCGCAAACCTGGACGCGCGACGGCGGAGAAGGATGGAGCGTTACACAGGCCCTGGGCCAACATTCTCATTTTAAAATACAATTAATACCACGGTTGCCGAGTACAGGCCCGAAGGCCCAAATGTCAAGTGGGCCGGGAACAAGCAGCACTCTCAATGTCAGGGATAAGAGTGCAGCACGTTTCTTTAATTGAGCCGGGTTTTATAAGAGCTTGGGGAAAGAGACGATTGGGAGGGAATTCCAAAGTGAGCCAGTGTGAGGGAAGAAGCAGTGTTGGTGAGTGGGCGAGTGAGCTGTTGTCACCTGCAGTGTTGGTGAGTGGGCGAGTGAGCTGTTGTCGCCTGCAGTGTTGATGAGTGGGCGAGTCAGTTGGTGTCGCCTGCAGTGTTGGTGAGTGGGCGAGTGAGCTGTTGTCGCCTGCAGTGTTGGTGAGTGGGCGAGTGAGTTGGTGTCGCCTGCAGTGTTGGTGAGTGGGCGAGTGAGCTGTTGTCACCTGCAGTGTTGGTGAGTGGGCGAGTGAGTTGGTGTCGCCTGCAGTGTTGGTGAGTGGGCGAGTGAGTTGGTGTCGCCTGCAGTGTTGGTGAGTGGGCGAGTGAGCTGTTGTCGCCTGCAGTGTTGGTGAGTGGGCGAGTGAGCTGTTGTCGCCTGCAGTGTTGGTGAGTGGGCGAGTGAGCTGTTGTCGCCTGCAGTGTTGGTGAGTGGGCGAGTGAGCTGTTGTCGCCTGCAGTGTTGGTGAGTGGGCGAGTGAGCTGTTGTCGCCTGCAGTGTTGGTGAGTGGGCGAGTGAGTTGTTGTCGCCTGCAGTGTTGGTGAGTGGGCGAGTGAGCTGTTGTCGCCTGCAGCGTTGGTGAGTGGGCGAGTGAGCTGTTGTCACCTGCAGTGTTGGTGAGTGGGCGAGTGAGTTGGTGTCGCCTGCAGTGTTGGTGAGTGGGCGAGTGAGCTGTTGTCGCCTGCAGTGTTGGTTAGTGGGCGAGTGAGCTGTTGTCGCCTGCAGTGTTGGTGAGTGGGCGAGTGAGTTGTTGTCGCCTGCAGTGTTGGTGAGTGGGCGAGTGAGCTGTTGTCGCCTGCAGTGTTGGTGAGTGGCCGAGTGAGCTGTTGTCGCCTGCAGTGTTGGTGAGTGGGCGAGTGAGTTGTTGTCGCCTGCAGTGTTGGTGAGTGGGCGAGTGAGCTGTTGTCGCCTGCAGTGTTGGTGAGTGGGCGAGTGAGCTGTTGTCGCCTGCAGTGTTGGTGAGTGTGCGAGTGAGCTGTTGTCGCCTGCAGTGTTGGTGAGTGGGCGAGTGAGCTGTTGTCGCCTGCAGTGTTGGTGAGTGTGCGAGTGAGCTGTTGTCGCCTGCAGTGTTGGTGAGTGGGCGAATGAGCTGTTGTCGCCTGCAGTGTTGGTGAGTGGGCGAATGAGCTGTTGTCGCCTGCAGTGTTGGTGAGTGGGCGAATGAGCTGTTGTCGCCTGCAGTGTTGGTGAGTGTGCGAGTGAGCTGTTGTCGCCTGCAGTGTTGGTGAGTGGGCGAATGAGCTGTTGTCGCTTGCAGTGTTGGTGAGTGGGCGAATGAGCTGTTGTCGCCTGCACTGTTGGTGAGTGGGCGAGTGAGCTGTTGTCGCCTGCAGTGTTGGTGGCCGAACGCAGCGTGGATGAGACTAAACCGACGGCTCGTTAACAAAATAAAGAGCACCTCCTTCTCACGTTTGTCTCTCCACGTAAAAAAATAAATATATTTTCTACGCAACCCATCAACTGCACGGCCTCCTGGGAGCGCATCTTGTCAGCAGCATTGGTTCAATTCAAGGAAACTCGGGAACACTTTGAAATGAAGTCTCTCATCGGCAGGGTCAGGCTTGCTTGAACCAATGCTGGTGAATGCCAGGTGTTTATAAGCAAGGGTCCTCTCTGTTAAATATGAGTCCGAGTTCTACGTAGACCACTGGTGGCTCCGCAAGGCCGTAGGAGCTGGTCTGCAGAACCCTTGCAGATCCGATTTTATTCACAAAACACCAAAAGTTCGCGACTGCATGGCAGTCACTGGAAATGTATTGGGGGTTAACGGTGCCCTGCAGGAGAGCTGGGAGCCGCTGTGCTAGCGTGCGGTCGTTTACTCCGTGTGAAACTAGGGCGACTGAGAGGGCACGGGGAGCGGTGTCGTGACCTTGGCGCGTGCTCGTTCACGTCCGTGACGCTCACGGACACGAGCAGCAGGGAGCGGCCGGGCGACGTGAACGCAGCCGTCACCGTCTCCACGGCAACCTGCAGCTGGTACGTGGGGGAGACCTGCAATAGCACGGACACATCTGAGCCTGCTGCTGCAGACAGACTCAAGCACACGCGCACACTCCCTGCACGTTAGAATGTCCTCCATGAGCATAGAAGTTCACCTCGTAGTCCAGCTCGCGTGCCAGGTAGACGTGTCCGGTCGTCGCATCCACTCCAAATGTCCCCCATCGATCGGTGCCCCCCACAATGCGGTACAAGACCTCCGCGTCGCTCTTACAGCCCACCCCGGAACTGGCATTGGCGCAAACCGAGCCGATCACGGTGCCCGGCCTGGTTCCCTCCACCGCCACGAGCTCGACCACCGAGGACTCGGGAGCCTCCACGAGGCCCTTCGTAGCCCGCACCTACCGCAGGATAAACAGAAGAGTCAAGGGTGCGGCCCCGCAAACGCTCGCTAACACGCCCCGCCGGCGGAACGGCCATCACTCGAGCAAACTCGACAGCCATGCTTCTCGACCTTTTTCTCTTCACGGCGCCCACGCTCGGGCTCCCTGCGTGTCTGTGTGTGTGTCTTTGTGTCTCGGAGTCTCGGTGTCTCCGTGTCCGCGACTGAGGGAGTTGAGAGGGCTGGGGGGTGGTGGAATGACGGCCGTTTTGGTGACGTTCTGCGCTACGTTGTTAAATTGTCGATACAGGGGCAGTTGCAACGGTAATTTTGATATTTGGGAAATGATGGCGCATGGCGAGAAGCCAGTAAAGAAGGAAGAGTTAGCCTGGGAACAAAAACGCATGTACACATCATATTTGTTCATGCAATGTGGGAATATCCAGATTTCAAAGACGTGATCAACTCGGATGCAGATGCTCGCAATGGGAGCTCCGGAGCTCTTATCGGAGGTTAATGGAGGCAGAGACGGTGCGACTGGAGAGACGCGCGGTGCGAGTGTGGCCTGGGGCCACGGGGTGCGAGTGTGGCCTGGGGTCACGCGGTGCGAGTGTGGCCTGGGGCCACGGGGTGCGAGTGTGGCCTGGGGTCAAGCGGTGCGAGTGTGGCCTCGGGCCACGCGGTGTGAGTGTGGCCTGGGGCCACTCGGTGCGAGTGTGGCCTGGGGCCACGCGGTGTGAGTGTGGCCTGGGGCCACTCGGTGCGAGTGTGGCCTGGGGCCACGCGGTGTGAGTGTGGCCTGGGGCCACGCGGTGCGAGTGTGTCCTGGGGCCACGCGGTGCGAGTGTGGCCTGGGGCCACTCGGTGCGAGTGTGGCCTGGGGCCACTCGGTGCGAGTGTGGCCTGGGGTCACGCGGTGCGAGTGTGGCCTGAGGCCACGCGGTGCGACTGTGGCCTGTGTGTCTCGCCTGCACGTGCAGCGGCATGGAGCTGTTGAGAGGAGGTTGGCCCCTGTCGGTGTGTGTGTCCTGGGGCCACGCGGTGCGAGTGTGGCCTGGGGCCACTCGGTGCGAGTGTGTCCTGGGGCCACGGGGTGTGAGTGTGGCCTGGGGCCACGGGGTGTGAGTGTGGCCTGGGGCCACGGGGTGCGAGTGTGGCCTGGGGCCACGGGGTGTGAGTGTGGCCTGGGGCCACTCGGTGAGAGTGTGGCCTGGGGCCACGCGGTGCGAGTGTGGCCTGGGGCCACTCGGTGAGAGTGTGTCCTGGGCCCACGGGGTGTGAGTGTGGCCTGGGGCCACTCGGTGCGAGTGTGTCCTGGGGCCACGCGGTGCGAGTGTGGCCTGTGTGTCTCGCCTGCACGTGCAGCGGCATGGAGCTGTTGAGAGGAGGTTGGCCCCTGTCGGCCGCCGTCACCACCAGGGAGTATCGAGTCCGCTCGGCGCCGAGCCAGCCGGCCGTGCTCACCACGCCGCTGTCGGCGTGTATCCGGAACCAAGGCGCGTCTGGACCTAAGCCGACACCGCACACCGAAACCCACAGGCACCGGCGCCACGAGTCAGGCATCGCCGCGGCGCACGCAACTCGCCGTGAGCCCCCGTCTGTTTGCTGGGGAGTCTTATCGAGAGAGGAAATAAATATCGGCAAAGGGGAAAAATATATAATGGGTGAGGGCCTGTTTAAGCCGCACGAGGCACGGCCATGTACACTCACAAAGATCCCTCGGGTAGCCCACACAGGCTGTTGGGGCAAGTGCTATTAGTGAGCACCTATGAAGGTCGGACGGCGAATGAGGGGGTAGTGTGGTCAGGACAAGGCCCGGCCACTTTTGTCTCCCCAGTGCTGATTTTGTACACACCGCACCGGGCACTCACTTGAGGCTGAGTCGACCTCGGGGAGCCCCAGGACCGGTTCAGATATTTATCACTGATGTATGGCCGTGAGCGGGAATCGAACACGGGTCACCAGGTTCAGCAGATTACATTACCGCTCTCCACACACTCAAACACACGCACACGCATGTTGGAGCAGTGGAAATCTCACAAGGTTTCGAGACGTCATCCAGTATTGACCAAATGGCACACGTCTGCGATTCGCGCACGGACTCTCTCGGGGCAACCGCGCAGCAGCACGCGTCTCTCCTGGGCCTTAACACAGTCATAGCACGCAGCGCCACAGCGCATAGGATCGTAGCAGTCAGCAGAAGAGTGGAAGGTCGCCACTTTGGGTTCACGTTGAGCCGGGGGGCATACCCGCCAAGGAGTAGACTACGGTGCCATTCTCCCCAGCGTCCGGGTCCAGGGCCGTGAGGCGGCCCAGCGTCCAGCCGGAATCAGCCCCGGGGTGAACCTGGAGGAGGGGGGGGGATGGGACAGATAATCCAGAATGGGTGTGAGTGGACAGCCCGCGTGTGAAGATCGTGGGGGGGCAGGTGGCCACTCGCACAGCACATATGAGCGAGGATCGTGCACGCACGCACAACAACAACAAGCGCAGTTCACCACTAAGTGGCGTTGATGCGCTGACTCGGATGAGTGGCTGATGCACCACCTGTGCTCCCCACTGTGCCAACTAGCTGCGTTTTAGCCACCCGGCACTCTGCTCGCTTGTTGTGAGCGTCGCTCCTCTGCCCTCCGTTGTTGTTGGAGGGCGACTGCCTCCAACTGCCCAGCAGCGTCCTTCACGAGCCTCCTCCACAGAGGGCAATCTTGACACCGCTGGTACCGGTCATCGGTAAGTCTCCTCAGCTGCACGTCCTCCTGTACAACTTTAGCTCACCTCTTCTCAAGCCCACGCCGTACCTGTTCAGCTCCCTCTATCCAGCGAAACAGAATCTGCTTGGGCAGGCGGTGGCTGGGCATGCGGGCTACATGACCCAGCCAAGGCAGCCTCGCCTGCCGGAGGAGCTCGCCGATGGGACTGTGTCCGGATCTTTCAAGGAGCTATGAGCTCCTCACACACTCCTACCTGGTTAAACCCAACACGGATCACAGGCAGGCCAGCCTAAATATTTCACACACGGACACACACTCACACACACACACACCTGGAGCTCCAGCGGGTTTGTTGCCATGGTGAGGAAGGTGGGAGTGTTGTCGTTGTCGTCGGTGACTGTCACGCACACCGTGACGCTCTCCTCCGCGCCGGCCCGAGTGACCACCACCTGGAGGCGATACTCGTCCTGTTCCTCCCTGTCCAGCGCCATCCGCGTGCTGAGCTCACCTGGACACAGCGCAGCAGGTGACCACGACGCGATGCTACGGATCATAGTCGTCGTGATTGCGTGGCACAGGGCAACAATTGTAATCGTCGTTACTTTTTTACCCAGGCATGCCGCACTGAGGGTTTTTTTCCCCTGGATAAAGGAGTGATTCGTGCGAGAAGACTTTGAATTCAGGAGGGTGCTGCCACACTGCGGTGTGTGGCCAACACCATCTACCCCCCCACGCGAGCGAGGCAGGAATCGAACTCGGGTGCTTTTTGCTGTGAGGAACGAGTCACCGCTGCACCGCCCTGCTGCCAAAAATCGTCGCGCGTGCGTGATGCGATTGCGCTTCACGGAACGTGGAGGCGTTTCCGCGTAACCGCCGGCGGACGGCACCTGTCACGGCGTCGATGTGGAAGTGGTCGTGGGCCGGCGAGAGGCGGTACTGGGCGCGCGCCAGTTGACCGCCGGCGGCCTGGGGCATCCCGCCGAGGCTCGTCCACGCCGGCCGGTTCTCCGGCACGTGCAGCCGGCGCGCGCCCACGCCCGGCGCGCAGGAGCCGCCGTCCCGCGCGGCCGTCACGGTGAGGCTCACCGTCGCCGTGGCCGTGCGCTCACTCGGCGCGGCCGGGTCCCAGGCGAGCGCGTGCAGCGTGCGCACGCCCGGCGCCTCCCTCTCCAGGGAGCGCCGCACGTACAGCCAGCCGTCCGACGGCGCCACCGACACGCCGCCGCCGCCGCCGGCGGCTCCCGCCGCCTGGCCGGCGTCCCGCAGGCCGTAGGCCACCCTGGAGTCCCCGCCGTCCCCCCTGGCGCTCAGCCGCAGCAGACGCGTGTTGGGCGCCGTGTTGACGCCCACCGCTAAGTGGTACGTCTCCTGTTCGAACGCCAACCCGCCCCGATCTCCCGGCATCAGCACGGACAGGGTGAGGGTGGCCGTGAGCGCCGGCGTTCCGGCGTCTTCGGCCAACACGACCACCTGGCGGGAGACGTCGCCCGGCTCCGTGCTCAGGGATGTCAGGAGGGTGACGCTTCCGGTGGACGAATTCACCCCGAATCGGCCTCCGGCACTCGCCCGCAGCCGGTATCGCACCTGGCCGTTCGGTCCCGAGTCGGCATCCGTCGCCCGCGCCGTGTAAACGGCCGAGCCGACCCGGGCGCCACGCGGCAGAGCGACGGCGTCATTCCGGCCGGCGGCAAAGGTGGGCGCGTTGTCGTTGACGTCGCCGACGAGGACGGTGACCGTGGCGGTGCTGTAGACGGGAGGTTCGCCCGAGGACGCCGTCACGGCGAGCGTCGCGACCGGCGCCGTCTCGTGGTCGAGCGGGGCCCGCGTTCGGATGGTGCCGCTCAGCGGCTCCACCGCAAAGCGGCCGTGGGGGTCGCCCCCCGACAGGGTGTGACGCACGCGCCCTGCGGGCAGCGGCGGGCACAGGCGGCGCAGAGTCGGCGTCAGACCGCAATTGCGCTTCGACGCGCCTTTCGAAAACGACGGGCGCCTATTTCGTGCAAGGCGTTCGGGCGCGGGCGCGGGCGCGGGCGCGGGCGCGGGCGCGGGCGGCACTGACCGGCGGTGCTGCTGGCGCGTGCGGTCCCCACGCTGGTCCCGACGCGCGCGTCCTCCGGCACGGACTCGGTGTGGCGCTCGCGCGAGAAGAGCGGTGCGGCACGGCCCGGGGACACGAAGCTGACGCTGACGTTCGCCGGGGCGTGGGAGAGGCCCCCGGCTCCGCGCGCCCGCACGGACAGCGCTCGCACCGTGGCGGGCACGTCCCCCGCGTGCCGAGCCAGCGAGATCACCCCTGAAGCACGCGCGGACAGATTTTATCGTGCCGCGTCAGGCGACGGTTGACGAACGGTGAGCGCTGACAGGCGTTTGCTTTTCCCTCATTCCAATTTTCATGATCGCACGTGTTTGCCCATCTTCCTCAAGAGGGATCTCCTGAGGTTTTGCAATTGCTGTATGTATGTGTGTACGTAAGTATGCATGGATGTTCAACTTCTGCCACACGGTGCGGAGCCAACCGCACTTATCGGAGTTGCGTAGCAGTCGTTAACTTTCAGACAATTTGGACTGTGACGCCAGCACGCAATGTGTTACTCTACTTCAAACTGCGTCAAAGTAGTCTTTGTATGGCTAATAAACATGGCAGTATTAACCAGGGCAGCTCCCGAACCCCGGAACGTCTGCAACAAGCGGCGAACGCGCTACCTGCTAAGCCACGTGAACCAGGAAAACTCGAAAAAATCTGGCAAAACCGCCCTCGGATCGAAGAGAACTTTTTATTTTTTTGCCAGGAAGCGACAACAACCCCGGCACCGGCACCGGCACCGGCACCGGCGCGTGCCGGCGGGGCGCGACGCTCGCGGACGCACCGCTGGACGGCTCCAGGCGGAACAGCGAGTCCTGGTTGCCGGAGCCGATGGAGTAAATCAGCGGGCCGGGAGAGCCGTCGGTGGCCACCACGGCGGTGACACGCGTGCCGGCCGCACTCCCCCGCAGCACGTGCACCGTGTACGTGGCCGGGTAGAACTCGGGGGGCCTCGGGGTCACGGAGCCCAGCGACACGCGCACCAAGCTCTGAGAGGTGTGCCCGGCCTAAGAACCAAACACACACACACTGTGTACTCACTGTCTCAACACACACACACACACACTGTGTACTCACTGTCTCAACACACACACACACTGTGTACTCACAGCCTCAACACACATACACACACACTGTGTACTCACTGTCTCAACACACACACACTATGTACTCACTGCCTCAACACACACATACACACTGTGTACTCACTGTCTCAACACACACACACACTGTGTACTCACTGTCTCAACACACAAACATTGTGTACTCACTGTCTCAACACGCACACACACTGTGTACTCACTGTCTCAACACACACACACACTGTGTACTCACTGTCTCAACACACACATACACACTGTGTACTCACTGTCTCAACACACACACACTGTGTACTCACTGTCTCAACACACACACATTGTGTACTCACTGTCTCAACACACACACACACTGTGTCCTCACTATCTCAACACACACACACACATTGTGTACTCACTGCCTCAACACACACACACACTGTGTACTCACTGTCTCAACACACACACACACACACTGTGTACTCACTGTCTCAACACACACACACATTGTGTACTCACTGTCTCAACACACACACACTCTGTGTACTTACTGTCTCAACACACACACACACACACACTGTGTACTCACTGTCTCAACACACACACACACACTGTGTACTCACTGTCTCAACACACACACACTGTGTACTCACAGCCTCAACACACACACACACACTGTGTACTCACTGTCTCAACACACACACACACTGTGTACTCACTGTCTCAACACACACACACACATTGTGTACTCACTGTCTCAACACACACACACTGTGTACTCACAGCCTCAACACACACACACACACTGTGTACTCACTGTCTCAACACACACACACATTGTGAACTCACAGCCTCAACACACACACACATTGTGTACTCACTGTCTCAACACACACACACAGTGTACTCACAGTCTCAACACACACGCACACACACTGTGTACTCACTGTCTCAACACACACACTGTGTACTCACAGCCTCAACACACACACACACATTGTGTACTCACTGTCTCAACACACACCACACCACACTCACTGCGTGTGTGCATCTGTGGTGGAGATAGCAGCCACAGTAGTTAGCGCACTGTGCTCTGAACCTGTCACTCAGGGTTTGCTACCAGGCCACTGCAAGTGTTCGTGATCGTCTGAACTGGTCCTCGCCCCCCCCCCCCCCCAAGTCGACTCGGCCTCAAGATGAGTAGCTGGTGCCGAGTGTCAACATCGCCACCAGGGAGACAAAGGCGGCCGGGCGTGATGCTGGCTTCACCAACCGCTCACGCGGCCGCGTTTGACCTTCATAGGCGCTCGCCAACAGCACTTTGCCCGAACAGCCTGTACAGGCTACACGGGGGATCTTTGTCTGTGCGCGTGTGGTCGGCTTGGCAGGGCCCACCACCACCACCACCGCCACCGCCACCGCCCTCCACCACTTACCCCGTCGTGTGCGCGTGCGGCGAGGAGGTACGGAGCCGCGTCGGGCCCCAGGGCCCCCGTGGTGCAGATCCACCCAGAGGGGGGGTCGATCCTGAACGGGACGGGCCCCCCGCGCGCGCCGTCCAGGGAGAAGCTCACGGGGCCGGTGCCACCGCCGCCTCCTCGGGGGAGGCTCGCGCGCACCTGAAGCCGCCGGGCAGCGGCGCCACGCACGCACGGGCCGGGGGGACACGGAGCGGGGAGACATGAGCGCCGGGGATTGGGAGCAGAACGAGCGGACCCGGACGCAGCGGACCCCGGCAGCGGCCCGGTGCGTTCGTGCACCGGGCCGCGTGCGACCGTCCAGAGAGGACCGGTGGAGCGGTGGGAGGGGGGGGGGGTCAGTGACGGATGAAGCTCGTGCGGGGCCTGTAAGCACATGTTACCAAAGGGCCCTAGAATGAAAACAGACACGTAAATATTAAAAGACATAAATGTTTAACTTGCACAGTAAAGTAATTGTGTTTTTTCATTTGCTATACACAGCCAGATAATACGACGAATCGCTAAGCTTAGACACCCAGTCGTTCATAAAAGTTGAAGGCGGTATAGTACTGTAGTAATAGAGCAAGTGTAGAATCACTGAACCAGAATTGATAGCTTGAAAGCATTTAGCACGGGGCCCTTGAAAGTGCGGGGCCCGTAGCATATGTAGCTACTACATGTGCAGCTACTACATGTGCAGCTACTACATGTGTAGTAGCTACACGTGTAGCTACTACACATCAAGTAGCTACTTGTGTAGCTACTACCTATGTAGCTACTTGTGCTACGAGGATAATCCAGCACTGGCGGTGGTGTGATCCAGCATAGGGGGGGGGGGGGGGGGTTGGTGGATCGCCATCTCCCCTGCTAGCCAAGGTATGGCAGTGCAAGCGAGTGTTCACGGATTGAGTGGTTACCCCCTCGCATCTTTGTGTGTTTCTCCGGGTGCTCCGGTTTCCTCCCACACGTATTCATAACTCTTTAATGCATTTAGCCAAACATCCCGATGTAGGACGGCAGAGCTCGGGCAATTGTTGACAGCACTGGTTCTGGCTGCCATTCCTGCTTGTCTGCGTCTAAAACCGTGGCGCACTACAAATTCCACCGAAATCTCTCGACGCAATTGGCACGGATGATGACGCTACAATAACTATCGAACACATTTCCTGCACTCACGACGCGTGATGCCTGGCATCACGCGTCGTGAGCGTCGAGTACTTGATGCCAAGGATACACCCGTGTTAGAATCAGGGTGGCACAAACGAACTTACAAACGAGACGGGACAAATCGTAGTGACGGGACGTCGACAGCGATACACAAGCACGGTCGATACGCGTGCCAATGCATTCGCTTGCCAGTTCGTGAGATGCATCCGTTACGTGGCCAAAGGGTTCCCTGAGCCGAGCATCTCATGGGTAACCCATTTGAATAAACGTCGCCGAAAGGTTCTGCCCCCTTGTGTTAACCTTGCTCATCTCACAGCCCCGGCAAACAACGCTCTGCTGATGAGACAGCGAATGTCAAAACCGGTCCAGAGTTTGCTGCTTGTAAGTATGAAACCAACGCTCCTGTTCAAAAAAAAAACAACGCACAGCACTCCCAGAAGGTCGCGTGGCAGATGTGATGTGTTAAACAACAAAAAAGAACACCCCCCCCCCCCCCCCCACTTGTCTGTTTTTACAGAGACAGCTATGGGACGCGATGCGTTTCATCTGCTCATTCGGTGCACCACTTTCATTCCGTACAAGGACGCGGGCGGTGATTTGAGACGCGGACGATGATTTGAGAAACAGAGAGAGAGACCACGGCTGGTGCTGCGGTCCCCGTGGAAGCTGCCTGCGGCCCTTGCCTCTCCGTGCACCGCTTTGCGCAAATCCCAGGGCCGCCGGTCTTCAAAGCTCAAGGACCTCACGCCGCATCCGAGAGAGCACGTGCCCAATGGACTACAAAGACAAAGATCCCCCGTGTAGCCTTAACAGACTGTAGGGGCAAGTGCTGTTAGCGAGCACCCTATGAAGGCCGGAACGGCACGCGAGGGGGTGGGTGGCCAGCACCACGCCCGACCGCCTTTGTCTCCCCAGTGGCGATGTTTACACATCGCACCAGGTACTCATTTGAGGCTGAGTCGACCTAGGCTAGGCACCGGACCAGTTCAGATAATCGTCACCGGTGTTGGCCGTGAGCGGGAATCGAACCCGGGTGGCCGGATTTATAGCGCAGCGTAGCGCTAACCGCTCCACCACCGCTCCCCAAAGTGAACTACCCCCACCCCACCTCCCTCCCGCTCTCCTCTCTGGTCATTCAACCCACAGTGAGCAGCACAAAGGGGGATGCCGCCCCCAGTCGGGGGAATTGAGAGCACAGTGGAACTGCAGTCTCGAGGTCATGACGAAGACTGCCTCTGGTGTAGGCCAATGGGTTTCAAAGACAATGCGTGTACGCGATCAGAGCGCGTCTGTGTTTTTCGTGTTTAATGCGGATACTTGATTCCTTGCAAAAGGTATCCAATTGGCGTTTGAACATCTGAACACCCCCTGTTGTGTTTGCCAGAAAGGGCCAAACCAATTGTTCTTCCGCACACTTTGAGACTGGCGACAAAAAGGTCCCGTAGATAAAATCCCCGAGGTGCAGAGTTTGAGAATCTCGACCCCCACCCACCCCCCCCCCAGCTCTGTCCACCCAGGGGGGGGGGGGGTCACCACGGGCGAGTCGATCTGCAGGTCGCGACCGGTAAGGGTTTAGTGCGGGGGCTACGGCCTTTCTCTTCCAAGACGTCTGGTCGGCGTGGAAGAGTAGGCCAAGTACCAGCGCGAGCTCGTTCTCGTGGAGGAGGGCCCTTGCCCCATGCCACTGCGCAAAAGGTGGCCTCGTGGTGGCGGCCGAAGGCACGGCCACGCAGAGCAGGCACACGAATCGTCGTGCCGAAGCGCGCCTGCCATATTATGTTTCGCTTGATCACCTCTCGTCTATCCACTGCTGGCTGAAGGCCCCTCCACCGTGCGTGAGTGAACCCCTGGGAGCTGCGGGGCGCCTTAACCGCGGACCGCGTCGTCTCAAGATGTAAAAAGGGGACCGGGGGGGGGGAGAGAGGAGGTTCAATGACTGCGGCCGCAGCTGTTTGCAATCTGATACAGCGCGGCCCAGAACCGGGGGTGTTAGTGGGGGGGGTGTAGTGTGGGTTTGGGGGTAGCTCACGCACATTCCTGTCTGGCTCTGCTAAGTCCTGGTAAGGGGGAGAGGGGAGGCAGGGAATAACGGGCAGGGTGGGGTGGGGGGGGGTGGCAATGGGAGAGAATTTCTCCGCATTCCTGCCTGGTTGCATGAAGGTTTAAACGGTGGGGGTGTGGGGGAGAGGTGAACGTTGTGGGAGAAACCTGGCGAACGGCAGCGCGTGTGTGCGTGCGTTTTCGTGTACGGAGCGGCAGTGGTCAGCACGCTGCGCCGCTACGAACCTGGCGGCCCGAGTTCCGATTCCCGCTCCTACGGCCAACACCAGTGACGAATATCTGAACCGGTCATGGGCCTCCCCTAGGTCGACTCGGCCTTAAATGAGTACCTGGTGTGATGTGTAAACGTCGCCCCAGGGGAGACAAAGGCGGCCGGGCGTGGCGATGGCCAACCACCACTTTATATGTGGTGCTGGCTTTCATAGATGTTTAGGCTATAGGGGGATCTTTGTATTTGTGGGGAGTGGTGGTAAAGTGGTCAGTATCCTGAAAGCCGGGAAAGTCCCAATTAGATTCCTGGACATTGATAACATCACCGGCACATCATATCTGACATTGACTTTGGTCTCTCGTGAAAGCCACTTCAGTCTTAAGTGAGTAAATGTGTGGCGCAGTTGAAAAATTATCAGCCCCCTGGGAGGAAAATACGACTGGCCATGTGTTTTGGCCACACCAGCCGATTGTGTGTCACGCTGTGGCCTTACTAAGTCCTCAGGAACAGCACTTGCGCTGACTCTCAACAAAAGGTTAATGCGGCGTATGTGTCCTCGTGTCTCTGTTTCAGTGCGTGTTTCGGCGTGTTTGTCTTTGTGTCTGTATCACAACGCACGCGCTTGCTGAAACAACGCACGTCTGCTCGAACGAGAGACCTGGATGAACACGGAGAGAATAAATAGGCACAGAACTCGGGCTAGCCACAAAGTGGGAACGACGTTGCTTTGAATTGTGCCAACCCTGGTGCACTCTGAATATCGCCGTACTTAATGGGTTCAAACCCCCCACGATTTTAAATTGTGAAACTGTAAATGAAACGTCGAACAACAATCAAAATGTATGCCTTAAGCACGATAAAGCAGCCTACACAAGAATAGTCTTACACAAATATCGACATTTACGGTGAAATAAAAGCAACCTGTAGCGAGATGTGTCCTGGACTAATTTAAGCTAAATCAACAAGACGAATTATATTATTGCGTATGGCGGCAATCTTTTCAGGAGCTAAACGGCAATGTCGAGGTCTGGCCATGTCGCGAGAGGGCTTCGGGAAAGAGAGAGTTGGTGTCGTTTTGCTGTTCCTCCTCCATCGAAGGAGGGCAGACCAAAGTGGTTCACTGTATGGTACATCGTTTTTGGTTGCATGTCCACAATTGCACCACTGTGGATTGTTTTACATGTTCCTAGGCGTCTAACTATCTCTGTGAACCTCAACAGTCTCCTTGAGTCTCTATGTATCTCTACGAGTCTCTAAGTATCGCTAGGTGCCTCTATGGGTTGACTATACGGTCCATAGTTTTGGTTGTGTAGCCAGTCCCCATTGCATATTCACCTGGCTGATACTGCACTGACACAGATGTGTCACTGCTGTGTCACTGCAGCTGTGACATGTCTGTGACACAGCAGCTGTGACACGTCTGTGACACCGCAGTGACACGCCTGTGACACTGCACTGAGACAGATGTGTCACTGCAGTGACTGCAGTGACACAGCAGCTGTGACACGTCTGTGACACCGCAGTGACACGCCTGTGACACTGCACTGAGACAGATGTGTCACTGCACTGGCACAGCTGTACCACAGCTGTGCTGCAGGTGCCTCACGGCATTATTTTTACACAATGGTACGGATTAATTATATTGCGCTGTGCATTGCACAGCGCTGCATCGAACTCGGAGGACCCGTGTCCAACAGAGAGGGCCCTCGCCTATGGCAGT